GTTCACTTGGTAGCCCAGGCTGGCCTCGAACTCACAGAGATCCGCCTGGCTCTGCCTCCCAAGTGCTGGGATTAAAGGCGTGCGCCACCAACGCCCATCTGCAGCCAGTGTTCTTAACCCATGAACCAACTGTTTAGCCCCAGTATAGACATTTTAACAATGTTTAAATTCATTACCTCAGGTATCATTATATATAATTGTACCGATTCAATTTCTTTCAATATTTTTATAGTTCTTGTGTGCAGATCCTTCATCTTGCAATAATCAATTTTCCTAATCACTCATTTATTCTTGGTTTTAATGGTTTCATTAATATAATTGTTCTTTTGTCTTCCTGCTTGTATATTTCTGCACCATGTACTTGCAGGTTCCACAGAAGCCAAAAGGGCATGACAGATTCACTGGAACTGGAGTTACAAGTGGCTGTGAGTAGCCATGTGAGGGTCAGGACTGGAGCATAGAGTCTCTGTGAGAACAGATGATGATGCTCTTACCTGAGCCATTCCTCCATCCCTTTCCTTGTGTTTCAAATGTAACACTGCTTTTCTACAGAGCCACAATAGCCTTGAACTTGCCGTCCTCTGGCATCAGTCTCTCAAGAAACTGGGTATAGAGGCCAGTACCACCAGGCCCAGCTTCTTAATTCATCTTTGGGTTTCTCACCATGTGTGGCTTTTCTTTTTCTTTTTTTCGAGTTTCTCACCACGTGAGGCTTTTCTTTTTTTCCTTTTAAATTTTTATTTATTCATTATCTATACAGCATGTATGACTACAGGCCAAAAGAGGGCACCAGATCTCGTTACAGATAGTTGTGAGCCACCATAAGGTTGCTGGGAATTGAACTCAGGACCTCTGGAAGAGCAGACAGTGCTCTTAACCTCTGAGCCATCTCTCCATCTTTCTTTTTTGGTTTTTTGAGACAGGGTTTCCCTATGTTGCTTTGGTGCCTGTCCTGGATCTCACTCTGTAGACCAGGCTGGCATCCAACCCACAGAGATCCGCCTAGCTGTGCTTCCAAAGTGCTGGGATTAAAAACTTACACCACCACTGCCTGCCTATTTGTGACTTTTCTATACTGGATATTACATATTGCATCTATACTGAACTTACTAGCTTTTCTTTTACCTGTACAACAATTCTTGTTTGCATGCCTTTTATTTATTTATTTTTAAGGTTTTCTTATACTGCTGGTGCTTCCCTTGCCCCTGCTGTGTTTAATAGAAATGACAACAATAAGCATCCTTGTTTTATGCATGATTTGTGTTTGGTGTTTCATTTTATTTATTTATTTTTTTATTAAGAAATGTTTGTTTATTTTACATATGAACCACAGATTCCCCTCTCTTCCCTCTTCCCGCCCCCCTCAGGATTTCCCCCCAACCACCCCTCATTCCTCCTCCTACAAGGTAAAGCCTCCCATGGGGAGTCAGCAGAGACTGGTACATTCAGTCGAAGAAGGTCCAAGCCCCTCCCCCTGCATCAAGGCTGTGCAAGGTGTCCCACCATAAGTAGTGGGCTCCAAAAAGCCAGCTCATGCATGAGGGATGGATCCTGATCCTACTGCCAGGGGACCCCTTAAACAGACCAAGCTATGCCTCGCTTATGCAACTGTCTTGCTTATGCAGAAGCCCTAGTCCAGTCTCATGCAGGTTCCACAGCTGTTGGTCTAAAGTTCATGATCTTGATACCCCTTGTTCATAGAATCCCTCTTCTGTCTCTTCCATGGTACTCCTGGAACTTGGCCTGGTGCTTGGCTGTGGATCTCTGCATCCGCTTCCATCAGTTACTGGATGAAGGCTCCATGATTATACTTGATTTTAAAGAAATGTCTTTCAATTGCCCTGCATTTTCTATGACCTTAGCAGTGGGCTTTTCATGTGTGGCTTCAATATAAGGAAACTTATATTTATACCTAGAAATGTTTAGGATTTATTGCTGAAATAATGGCGCTTATAGTCAAATACTATTCAAATAAAGAATGAGTTTTCTGTCTTTCATTTTGCTGCTGAGGTTTGGATTGTCCATTGGTTTTGTATGCTGAACCAATATTACATGTTATGGGAGGGTCGGGGAAATAACTCAAAATGGTTTGAAGTATAATTGTTGATGTGGTTTGGATCTCATTATCTTGCTGCCATTCCTAAAGGAGTCTCCCATCAATGTCTTTGTCAAATTTCTAGACCAAGATAAACTCTCAACATTTACAGACACAAGATTCCTCAGAACCCACAATGGTTGGAGGCATAATTCCACACATCCATTGTTCTGGCTACTATTCTGTCCTGCATGTCATTGCTTTTTTCTTTGGTGAACCCTGTGGGGTAGAGCAGGAACCTCTGAAAGAAGGTTCTAAAAGGATGGTTTTCATGCCTTTTGAGAGTGATAAAGAAAAATCAGGGGCTGGAGAGATGGCTCAGAGGATAAGAGCACTGGCTGTTCTTCCAAAGGTCCTGAGTTCAATTCCCAGCAACCACATGGTGGCTCACAACCATCGGTAATGAAATCTGGTGCCCTCTTCTGGCCTGCAGGGATATGTGCAGACAACACTGTATACATAATAAATAAATGTAAAAAGCCCTTAACCATGTCCACAAACACATACATTGTCATTTACTAAGTGGCAATAAGAGAAATCATTGCCTATGTGAATCAGGTATACTCATGTGTACCTGTGACCTGTGTACACTCCATGTCAGAACTAGGCAATCTAATAAGAGACTTGTAAAGAGAGAATCAGAGAGGGTCACACTGACGGGTGCAGATAAAGAAGACATGAGAAGTTCAATGCTTTTAACATGAAGATGTGCTTTTTTCCTGGGAAAGAAAGGGATGGATAGAATGTAGGTTACACAGGCTGTTGGAAGGAGATACTTTCTTTCTGTGCTTCAGTAAAAGGAAATAACAAGCCTGCATCTGAAATTTGTCACTTGGGATGAAATTAGAGTAGAGGCCTTGGAGGTATGACAAAATGCTCCTTTATCCATGTCGCTCAACTTCTGTCCCTATTTCTCTCCTGTGTTCTTTTCCCTTATCATGGAGGTCACTGTTGATGTCTACACAGTGTCCATGCTGATTTTCCCTTTCTTACTTGTCCCCCATTTCCTCATTCCAATCACAGGTACCTGAGCATAAGTGTCAGGAGTCAGAACAGACAGACAGGATCACAGCAAGAATGGCCTCATCAGTCCTGGTGATGATCCAAGAGGAGGTGACCTGTCCCATCTGCCTGGAGCTCCTGAAGGAACCTGTGAGTGCTGATTGTGACCACAGCTTCTGCCGAGCCTGCATCACACTGAACTATGAGTCCAGCAAAGTCAATGAAGGGGAGGGCATCTGCCCTGTGTGCCGAGTGAGTTACCAGTTTGGGAATCTGAGGCCTAATCGACAATTGGCCAACATAGTGGGGAAGCTAACAGGGTTCAAGTCCAGCCCAGAGGAGGAGCAGAAGGTGAATGTCTGTGCACAACATGGAGAGAAACTGCAGCTCTTCTGTAAGAAGGACAAGGTGGCCATCTGCTGGCTTTGTGAGCGGTCTCAGGAGCACCGTGGTCACCAAACAGCTCTTATTGAAGAGGTGGCCCAAGAGTACAGGGTAAGAAGTGGGAGGGTGTGGGATACAGAGCAGGAGACAGTAAGAGATGGGAAATCTCCACTTGGTGTGACAGGTCAATAATGTGGACATCATAGATTCGAGGCTTGATATATCATTCCATCCTTCCCTACCTTTAGAGTCCTAAAAACACATGATGATTTATTCCACTTACTCATATGAGAATGTGCCTAGACTACAAATAGTAAGATAGAAAAAAATGTCTTGGAACTGTCCCTGTGAAGTTGAGTCAATGACCAAGAAAAGCCAAGAGCAGAGCTGCTAATTTATTCCATATTTATCTTCTTTCAATGTTTATGTTAGATTCATTCATCTACCTAAAATCCTGTCTAGTGATATCAACAATGGAGTTAGTAAATGAATGACAGACAGCAGCAAAGAGAATGTGCATGTGGCATCTGGAAAGAGGGGAAAGAATTCCATAATGAGATACTCAGAGGCAAGCTCTGTGTTGGGTCTTTGTTTTCTGTTGTTTGTTTGTTTTTGAGCCCACATACGAACTCACATAGACTGTTGCAGCATGCACAGGACCTGGAAGGGTCCGCACCAGATGGGATCCTAGAGCTGGAGGGAAATATAGATAATTGCTGCCACCCCTAACCCAGAAGCATTCTCCAAATGATAGCTACTTATAAATGAAATTGAGTTTTTTCAAAGGGAGTCTCACTGGAGAAATAATTCATTTACTTGTAGGGACAGGTCTCATGCCCAGCAGTAGATGGATGACCAACACACAATTAACTGAACCCATATTTGGAGGTTCTTTCTCTCATAACAATAAACCTGGACTTTTTTCCCCCTGCTTTACCAGTCCTTTGCATGCATATTAAGGCTTAGGGTTTTAATGAGTTTCCCATGTGTTGGAAACTGTGTGTCTCTACATCTATATGCATTCCTTGTGCTTTTTATTTATCTCTTTTTCTGGTTTGTTTGTTTTGTCATATTCCAATGGGTTTGTTTTTTATTTCTCTTACTGTATTTTCTTTTATTCTGTTACTATTCTTTAGATGCCTTTGTTTTGTAACAGGAGACAAAAAGGGCATAGATCTGATAGGCGGGGAGGTGGAGAGGACCTGAGAGGTGTCGGGACAGGGGAATCTGTAATCACAATATATTGTATGAAAAAAATCTATTTTCAGTGAAGGAAAAAAAATCTTAACTAAAAAAAAATATACAATTTTAAAAAAGAAAAGAAAACTAGAGAGATGGCTCAGTGATTAAGAGCACTGGCTTTCTTTCCGAGGACAGAGGTTCACTTCCCTGCATGTACATGGCTCCTCATCTGTCTGTAGCTCCAGTTCCAGAGGATCCTACACCTTCACACAGATATACAGACAAAACACCAATGCACATGAAATTTAAAATTAAATAGAAAAGGAAATAGAACAGGAAAGAATGTGCATGTAGACAGTGTGGTGGTGATGACTCAATCCCAGAATTCTGGGGTTGAGGCAGGAGTTTGAGGGTATACTGGTCTACAAGGAAAGTCCAGGCCAGCTAGGCTACATAGAAAGAAAACATTTTTTTTTTTTTTAAAGCAGGTGTTGGGATGGAGAGATGGCTCAGAGGTTAAAAGCACTAGCTGCTCTTCCAGAGGTCCTGAGTTCAATTCTCAGCAACCACATAGTAGCTCACAACCATCTGTAATGAGATCTGGTGCCCTCTTCTGGTCTGCAGGCATGCATGCAGACAGAATATCATTTACATAATAAATAAATAAAT